AGATACCATAACTAGACCGAGCTTCTTAAGCTTAAAGCTAGTACTGGAAATAGCATGTGGAGGCTGCTGGGGGAGTCACTGGTTAAGTATCAATGCTGATCACATATTCTCAACAAAAGAATGCAAAATTGCAGATATATAGTGGTTTATGCCAAAAGGCGTAATGGGCTATTAGGCTCCTGATAGGAAGAGAAACTTAATCAGATTGAGGCAACAATGTGGAACTTGCTCTTAGGTTCCTCTACCTCTGTACCATGTATAAATATCAAGAACAACAGAGAAAACGCTTTACTATCACAATCAAAAGCAATGTTGAATGCTGCAGCAAGAGCGAACTATGGGGCTCAGCTTGATCATTGATGGCTGTTTATATGACTTGAATCGGACTATCAGCCGCTACGACTGGTAGTCGGGGGTTATTTGGGTTCGGGTTCTGGGCATGGTCTGTAACCGTTTCCTTTGCCAGATTGGATTAGGTTTAGACTCACATGGAGATATATAAATACTTCTCATCTCCTCTGTAATCTGTAATCTCCTCGATAGTGAAACTGACTCTCTCTCGCCCGTGGACTAGCTAACACACATCGTGTTAGTTAACCACGTAAATCGTGTGTTTGTGTTTTTCGATTCTCGCATTTGTATTCTTGCTTTATCGATTCCGGGATTTCCCGATCCGTAGCACCGCGTTCATAACAATGGCATTGAACAATGGTCCTATACATCCCAATGAACTGACATGGTTGTTGCCTGTTGGCCTTGCAAATCAGATAAGAGAACACAAATAAAGACAGAGAATAGAAGGGATTGGGTGTTGACAAAGTTAACTGTTATTCCAACCAGAGCAGATATCATAAGCAACAATTTACTTTAACTTGACAATCCTAGTATAATCACCATTGATTTTAATGTAAGCTGGAGATAGAAATAATGTTCACCTAATTAACATATTAAAAAATCAGTATTCAATGGTCGAATTAAAATTCCCAAAGGAAATACGAACAAAATATAAACAAATGCAAATGCTGCTGGATACGGCAGCAGAAAGATTCCCATGTATTGCAAATCCTTAGTCGATCACGTAACCGAAGAAGCAAGAGAATAAAATTATCGTTGTGTTGGGCAAGATCAGAGCAGCAACTAATCTGTGGCAAGATTGGAGCATCAAATTGGACAGAAAAGGAAGAAACTTCATTCTGGGAAACTTATTCAATGCTGGAGCAACGAACACTTCTTCCCAACGGCTAGAAAATGAGGCTATATATATTGTCTCTTCTCTGATGCAGATCATCAACTTTTTACACCTAAAACAAAAGCGGTAGAGGACGGTGTTATTTAGTAAAAAGGGATCTTATCCAGATGTATAGGTTCTGAGAGAGTGGCTGAAGGGTGCAGAGTTTTGAGTAAAAACTCTAGCTGTCTTGTTTGTATTTTACCTTTCAATTTATGTTGTAATTGAGTCCATTAAAGCAGAAAATTGATAGTGTCTCTCAGTAGTGGTGTTGACTGTTGCCGGGACGAGGAAGTAGCCATTGTTGGGTGAACCTCGTTAAAATTGTCTCTATGTTTATTGCATTTCAATTTCCTTCTTCTTTCCCTGCTTCGTATCTCTGTTCTGCTTCTGGAGTTGGAAGATTGAACAGAGTGCGACTCTATTTATTGATTTACAGGGCTTGGCGCTCAAAAGCCCATTTGGCTTTGCGTCTCTATTAAACGATTGGGCCTTGATTGAGTTAAGCCCACATTGCTTAAGAAAGAGATCAAAGCTGGTTTGTGTTCGCTATCATCTTCTTCCTCATTTCCTCTTCCTGCACTTTCCCAATCTATTAAAAAAAATCCCTAATTTTAGATCGATCAACAAGTGGTATCAGAGCCTTCCTTTGAAGAGCTAGCTACTGCCAAAGGGTAACGATCTATGGGGACAAATCCTCAGTCTGCTTTTGGTCCCTCATCCCACCATAACCCCCCATGGTTCACCGGCTCTAACTATAATGCCTGGAAAAAACGCATGAAAACTTTCTTGTGGGGAATCGATGCCGATCTTTGTGTTATTGTTCGGGATGGACCTGTTGAGATGGATCCAGAGGGTCAAAATGAATGGAAGGATAATCAAAAGAAACGCACGCAGCTCAACTGTCGCGCTATGCACATCTTGCAAACCGCCATTTTGCCTGATGAAATTGATAAAGTGGAGCAGTGTGAAACTGCTCAAGAAATCTGGTCCATTCTCGAAGCAACTTATAAAGGTACGTTAAACATCAAGGAAACTCATTGATTTACTTATGCATGAATACGAGACCTTTGATATGTTATCCAATGAAGGGATCCATGAAATGTATTCCAGGTTTACTGGATTAACTAACAAATTGAAGGGTCTGACTAGAACCATTCCATCTAAAGATATGGTCAAGAAAATCCTTCGTTCCTTACCTAAGGAATGGCTACCTTAACGAACTGCCATAGAAAAAGTCAGGAACCTTAATACTCTGTCTGTAGATGAATTAGTAGTCTCTTTTCTAAGTCATGAAATGTGATTAGGCAAGTAGGAAAGGAGGATGAAAGGCGTAAGAAAAATCTTGCCTTTAAGAGTCGAGTCCACGAAATATGAGTCAGATAATGAAACTGATTATGATTTTGAAAGAGAACTTGCTCTGGTAAGTAAGAAGTTCCATCGAATGATGAAACAAAAGAACGATCAAAGGCAACACTCTGTAGAGAACAGAGGTCGATATGAGTCGCAAAATCGTTTTCAAGAGTCAAATAATCGTTTTGCTGGATCAACTAGTCGTTATTTTGCCTCAAACAACCGATTTCCTGATTCTTATACTAGACAAAATGAGTTTGCTAATCGAAATGGTGATAGTGGTAGGAATATTGGGAACTCTGGTCGAGTTAAAAATGCCACCTTTGAAAGATTTGTTTCGCAGGGAAGAGAAGTACCTTCAGGAGGACCCGATCGTGAGCCTCAAGGTTGGTACAAGTGCGGTAAAGTAGGACATGTGCGTGCTAACTGCCCTCTGACGATGAAAGCAAAAGAAAGAGCCATGGCAACATCTTGGATTTATTATGAGTCTAAAGACGATGTAGAAGGACAGGGTGAAGAAGCCTACATGGCTAACGAGGCCTGCATTGATCGGATCGATGAAAACAAAAGTGATTCGTGTCTGACCAACCAGACTGATAAATGTGAGAGTAAGTGGTACTTAGAAAGCGGTTGTTCTCACCATATGACATGTAATGAATCCTTATTCTCTACTCTTAGCTACAAGTTAGGAGGAGAAATTGTGTTTGGAGATAACAGTGCATGTAGAATTGTGGGACACGACACAATTGGTCTTCCCCCTATGCCTACTGTTAAACACGTTATGCTTGTAGATGGTCTCAAACACAATTTGCTTTCCATTAGTCAATTATGCATTAGTGGAAATAAGTTTACATTTGAAACCTCACACTGCCTGGTTGAAAGAACTCGTGACAATAAAATGATATTTATAGGAAATCGGTTAGGAAATATGTATGTGATTGATTTCTTGATTTAAATGCCTTCAATGAAAAATGATTGGTCTCTCAAACCTGTCAGCAAGAAACTATGTGGCACATAAAACTTGGGCATATTACCTTAAAGAGACTTGCTTCTCTGTCAAAGTCTAATCTTGTCCGAGGAACGCCTGAGTTAAAAGAACGTGGGGATTTCTTTTGTAGTGCTTGTGCTGCTGGAAAACATTCCAGAAAACCCTTCAAAGCAAAGTCTAACATTGCAACCACCAAACCATTTGAATTAGTTCACATGAATTTGCTTGGCCCTTGCACCGTTACTAGTATTGGGGGTAAGAACTATGTTTTTTTCCTGGTTGATGATTTCTCCAGATTTTCCTGGGTCTATTTCATTGCTTCTAAAGATGAAACTTTCAAACAATTTCAGTCTTTTGTCAAGCTGCACTCCGAAATCAAGTGCATTAAAAGTGACAATGGGGGTGAATTTGTGTCTGATTAGTTTTCATATTTTTGTGATTCAATGGGAATTATCCATACTTTCTCCGCTCCCCGCACTCCACAGCAAAATGGAATTGGGGAGAGAAAGAATCGAACTTTGATTGAAACTGCCAGAACTATGTTGTTAGATTTTGATATACCAAAATACTCTAGGCTGAAGCAGTCAATACTGCTTGTCATGTTATCAATAGGGTTTTGATTCGTAAGTATCTGAATAAGACTCCATATGAGATCTTAAATAAAAAGACTCCAAACATTTCTTATTTCCATCCTTTTGTATGTCGCTGCTTTACTCTTAACACCAAAGATACCCTTGGCAAATTTGATGCCAAGTCAAATGAGTCAATTTTCTTGGGATATTCAGTGAAAGGGCAAGCTTACAGGGTATTTAATAAAAGAACCCGGAAGGTTTAAGAATCAGTTCACATTTTATTTGATGAGTCTAACTCCACTGCTAAGATCTATGAGCCAGGTACTCATGTATTAGACTTACTGGAGCTTACTAACTGGATTAAGGATCATCCAAAAACAACCCCTCATCTTCAAATTAGAGAACCAGTACAGACTGATCCTCCTTCCTCATCAACATCTACACAACAAATTCACACCGAAGCATATGCAGAAGTACATGCACCTCCCCATATTCAAAGACGTCATCGTGAAAGTCAGGTCATTGGCAATATAACTGACGGTATGCGTACTCGAGGTAAATATACTCCAGGTCAGTATGCTTATGTTTCTCAAGTAGAACCCAAGTCTTATAAAGAAGCTTTGCATGATGAGGAATTGGATTATGCTATGTTAGAGGAGTTAGCTCAATTTGAGTACCTAAAGGTCTGGGAACTCGTGCCAAGACCTCTAGGAAACACCATTATAGGAACAAGTGGGTTTTTAGGAATAAGTTAGACGAAGAGGGTAATATCATCCGTAATAAGGCACGTCTTGTTGCCCAAGGGTACTGTCAAGAGGAGGGTATAGACTACAACGAGACATTTGCCCCATTAGTCCGTTTAGAGTCAATTAGACATTTATGTGCTTTTGCCTGTCACATGAACTTTCCTCTGTTTCAAATGGATGTTAAAAGTGCCTTCTTGAATGGAGACATTCAAGAAGAAGTCTATGTATCCCAACCTCCTGGTTTCTCTGATTTTCAGCATCCTGACTATGTGTATAAGCTGAACAAAGCTCTCTATGGGCTTAAACAAGCTCCTAGAGCTTGATTTAATCGCTTGACCACATTTCTTAAGGATCAGGGATTTACTCAAGGGTCTGTTGACCAAACGTTGTTTACTAAAACCTCGGGTCATCATTTTCTTATTGTCCAGGTTTATGTTGATGGCATTGTGTTTGGTTCTACTGATTCCTCCATGTGCACTGAGTTCTGTGAGGCTATGAAATCTGTGTTTGAAATGAGTATGATGGGTGAGCTTCAATTTTTCTTTGGGCTCCAGTTCAAACAAACCTCACATGGTACTTTTATTAGTCAATCCAAATATATTCATACCATGTTGCAAAAGTTCAATCTTTCCAATATCAATTCCAGCCCTACTCCCTTGGTTGTGAATCTTAAATTGGACAAATATGAAAATGGGACACCTGTAGATGAAAAACTGTTGCGGGGAATGATTGGTTCGCTCCTTTACTTGAAGGCAAGTTGTCCTGATATTCAGTTCAGTGTGTGTTTATGTGCAAGGTTTCAGGCAGCCTCTAAAGCTAGTCACCTTGCAGCAGTTAAACGCATTTTTCGTTCCTTAAAAGGAACTTTAACTATCGGTCTATGGTATCCTAAGCACGATACTTACTTGGCTATAGTGATTGTGACTTCGCTGGAAGTCTTACTAATCGCAAAAGCACAAGTGGAGCCTGTCAATTAGTTGGAACTTCCTTAGTCTCTTGGTCTTGTAAAAAACAAGGGGTTGTAGCCCTTTCCACAGCTGAGGCAGAGTACATAGCTACTGGAGGATGTTGTACTCAACTTCTTTGGTTGAAATATCAATTACGATTATGGTTTACATATTGCTGATATACCCTTATACTGTGACAACACTAGTACTATTTGTATGAAAAAAACCCTGTCCAGCACTCTAGGACCAAACACATTGAGATAAAATATCACTTCATTCGTGAGCTTGTTCAAAAACAGGTTATCTCTCTTAACTATATCTCTACTGAATTTCAGTTGGCAGATCTGTTCACTAAACCCTTGTCCTCTAATCGGTTTGTTTTTCTGTTCTATGAAATTGGGTTGCGGCCCATAGAAAATCTCACTGATTTCCTTACTGATTAGCTTGCTATGTTTTGCTTTTAGTCTTTCCTTTTCGTTTTTCTTTCCTTTGTTTTCTTGCAATGATTTTTATTTCCATATTTTGGTCTATTTTATAGCGATTTGTGTGTCTCTGTTTCCTTGTCTGTGGTGGTGATTCTCTTTCCCGTTCTTAGTTGCTTTGCTCTCTATATATTGTTGTTTCTTATGTGTTTCTTTTCACGCTTTTTTGTTATCGTTTGTCTTTCCTTGTCTTCAGGCATGAATCGTGTGCTCGCTCGCACTTATACTGACTGCCTTTTCTCTAAACCTGTGTCTCTCAGTCGCCATCGTCATAGTCTCTACTATGAGAATCGTCCACTGCCACCCCCATTTGTGTCCATTTTCCTGATTTTGTGGATTATGGCATGGATGTTAGGGGGTTCATTCATAATCTTGGCTGGGACTTCCTGTTGTTAGATCCTCCCTCTTTGATCTGTCCCGAGCTTGTTCGTTATTTCTATTCCAATCTGCGCTCTTTTGGTCTTCACAACCGCAGTTTCTCCACTTTTATCTTTGGTCATCTGGTAACCATTCCTGTCCCTGAACTGGCTCGCCTTTTAAACATTCCATCCATAGGCGAAGTTCTGGCTCATGAATCCGAGCTTTGGCGATTCAATTTCAGTATTGCTGCAAAGTTTGTTCAGTTGACTGGTGTTCATCCTGGCCCAGCAACCTATCTTCCAGTTACTTCTGTCCTCCCTAGCCTTCGTGCACTTCACTTTATTATCACCAGAATCCTGTTGCCTCGTACCCAATCTCTAGATGTTATCCTTCCTATGGATCTTTGGATAATGTCTCATGCTATGATTGGTGTACCATAAGATTTCTCCTATCTCCTCTTTGGAGTCTTCATGACATTCGGAGACTCTAGTTTTCCTGGTCCCCTTCATTTTGGGCCTCTCATCACTCAGCTCATTCTGCGTCTCGGCATTAGTATCTCTCTCTTTCAAACTGAGCAACCCTCCAGGTTCTTCACCGTTGATCAAGTCCTTGATGATTTGGAGCTTGAAAACGAGGTGGAGATGGCTGATGATGACCCTGAAGAAGATAATGAAGACGACCCTAAAGCTATGGCAGAGGATAACCCTGAAGGCGTTACTGGAGAAGCAAATCTGGAAGATAATGATGCCACTACTCTTGATCACTTTGCTGCGGCTCTGGCTTATGCTGAAGAAGGTTTTCACGTTGCTGCTATTGCTGCAGAAATGGCTGGAGGACTAGCTGGTAGACTTGTGGACTACAGCTCTGACGAGTTTGGCCCTCATGATGACTGATATTCTTTTACTTAGGGGGAGTTTTTGTTAGGGGGAGTTATTGTTTTCTTTGTGCACCAAACTTGAAACTTGAAACTTTTCTAGTGTGTTGCTTTGGGTGATTGTCCTTTTCTGGATTGATGGTTGGTCTTATTATTGTAAGAATGTTTAAACCGTTTTGCTGCGATTGAATGTTTGGTCTGTAGTTTTGGTTGGTGTGTGTTGTTCTCTCATTTTTTTGTAGGTCGTGTTTCATTTGCAAGAACTGATCTAGGGGGAGATTGTTGGGCGAGATCAGAGCAGCAACTAATCTGTGGCAAGATTGGAGCATCAAATTCGACAGAAAAGGAAGGAAGTTCATTCTGGGAAACTTATTCAATGTTGGAGCAACGGACATTTCTTCCCAACGGCTAGAAAACGAGGCTATATATTGTCTCTTCTCTGATGCAGATCAACAACTTTTTACATCTAAGACAAAAGCGGTCGAGGGCTTTATTTTTTTAGTAAAAAGGGATCTTCTCCAGAGGTATAGATTCTGAGAGAGTGGCTGAAGGGTGCAGAGTTTTGAGTAAAAACTCTGGCTGTCTTATTCGTACTTTACCTTTCAATTTCCGTTGTAATTGAGTCCATTAAAGCAGAAAATTGATAGTGTCTCTCGGCAGTGGTGTTGACTGTTGCCGGGACGAGGAAGTAGCCATTGTTGGGTGAACCTCGTTAAAATTGTCTCTGTGTTCATTGCATTTCAATTTCCTTTTTCTTTCCCTGCTTTGTATCTCTGTTCTGCTTCTGGAGTTGGAAGATTGAACAGAGTACGACTCTGTTTATTGCCTTACAGGGATTGGCACTCAAAAGCCCACTTGGCTTTGCGTCTCTATTAAACTATTGGGCACGTTGATCAGCTAGCCATAAACGAACAAAATGAAAGCAAGTGAAAGGAGACACCTCATGAATGAGCGACTAATACGACATCGCCATGGATTACCATCATCAGTTATGGGTTCCCAACTTCCAACTTCCCATCCAAGTGATCCCTTCACCTGATTCTTTGAACCATGAGAAAACCCCAGAATAAAGTTCTTCAAGAAGAGGATATTTTCCAGCATCAGGGCACAATTTCAGATATGCTCGTTCCTTGTCAAGAAAATCCCAGCTTCAAAAATCATTAAGTACAACAATGATTAGGGACAGTCAAGAACAAAAAGAGCAAAATCAAACATAAAATGCAAATAAGCGTAGAAGGGAGATTAAGAAGCAGATCTAAACTAGGGTTCAAAGACTACCTAAGGCGATAAGAATCTCTGGAATTGAACGCATCACCAGTATTTCGTGCAGATAAGATAAAAAAATACGTCAAACAGAGGAACTGAGAAGAACCTTTCGACGAAAACAGAGAGATAACACTTAAACTATAAACGAACTTACGAATCATGTTAATCTTCGACCTCGTTACATCACCAAAATCCGTCATTTAATCTATTTACAACTCAACCATCTCCTCGATCTGCATTGTTTGCTAAGATTGGACGACCAACTCGGCAAACTGAAATCCCCATTAACGATCTCAACGCCAAAACGTCATCAGAAAAGAGACGAAACATCCTTCTGCCGAAAATGAGAGCACAGAGCATTCAGGAAAGATCAGAAAACAAACTCAATAGACAATAGGAGAGCGATAATAATCACCTTAAACCAAAGCGCGAATCAACTTATCTTGGCAGTAACATCTCTTTGCTGCCCTTAATGCACACCGATTCATATTCACCCGCTCGAACACCGAGGGCACAATGGAGATGAAAATGGTGAGAAACAACATAGCTAAAAGAGAAAATCACAAAACAAAGAAGCAGGAAGAGAAGAGAGAGAAGCAAAAAAACAGCGTAAAGGGCTTTAGAAGAGATGAGTGAGATCCTTGAGGACAAAGTGGGATAAAATAAAGGGAAAGAGTGATGAAAGAAAAAGATAAATGTCAGGTAGCCGCAAGCAAATGTGGAACTCCATCTACCACCCAATGGAAAAGATCTCTATTTTCAACTGCAAACTCATTAGTCGCCTCAAGGGTCTCTATAGTCAAGACAGAGACATCACTTCCTACCTTAACCTCACATCTCCAAATCTCTACCCTCTGATAAGCAGGTAAGTTTCTCCATCTCTGAAAACTGAAAAGCGACCCAGGGCACCTGAACAATTGCCCGGAAATCGAAGGGGCAAAAGCTAACATCGGGGACTCCAAGCCCACTTGTGGCCAAAGCGTGGGAGGATCCCAAGCTAACAAATCCAAGAAACCAGAGAGTACATTGTAGTTCCGTCTCAACCAAACCATCCAGTTCCATCAGGATCTAGCGAGACCTCACCAAGCACCCGCTCACACTGAATCCCCATCCGAGTCGAAACAGTGTTGATGGGTATGCATGTACAATAAAAGTAGTCTTGGTGTACAGGAAATGGTTCTACTAGGGGTTTTCTTTTTTCAATGTTTCGGTATAGATAAAAAATAGCAATATTTAGAAAGTAAATAGTGTCTATTTATTTTGTATTTCATGTAGGATAGCATGAGAGTTTTTACCATTACACACACAAAATCAATCTTAATAAAAAAAAATGATTGTCTATTTGTGTAGTTTAATCAAATATTTTTTCACAATAGTTACCACTTTTATTCATCACGGTACGTTATAGACATGAAATTATATCATGTGAAAGAATATATAGGGCACATTAGAGATTTATCAAGAATATGAAGTAGCATGTTGAAGATGTACCACGATGACGTGAAAACCACCATCGATACAACATTAACCTTACTTATTTTGCACAAACTAATATGCTAGAATTTGTGACCATTTTGCATCCATGCATGAGACTATGAGAGTGTCGTTGTAGAAGCTGTTAGAGAAACCAGAAAATTACCTAATGCCAAGATTCAGAGTGAGCATTCTTAACATGAGTCAAGGGCTCGAGGCATAAAAGAAAAATGAAATGAGTATTTTGTGCACTACGGAAGTTATACTTAGAAGTTGATCCTTTAGATGCCTCATTGTTAACTTTAGTATTAATATTTTAATGTGAAAGTAGAGGTAGACAAAACAGTGAGCAATGAAGAGGAAATTGATCTCAAATGCTCAATACATGAGAGCTCATTTTGAAGACTAAATATTAAAGTATATTCAGATGTGAAACAAAAGCCTTTAATTAGGTTGGAGTAAATTGTAACCAACGATTAGTACCATATATATTATGGAAGCGAAAATGATATTGGAATCTTTAAGATTGAGGATTTTATTAGAATAATGATAACTTACTTTTTCATTCATGTGTAGCTTGGTTTGATGATTGGATTTATAAAACACACACCATCCTTTTGTTGTTTGACAGGTGAAAATAGAGAAGATTGAGTGTGGAGATGAATTCCGAAGCTTCAGCCAACTATGCAACCGTTTATGAGGAAGCATGGTGATGAAGTCTTTTGGAATGAGAAATTGATGCCTAGCTACTCATCTAGCATAGTCTGGGATACAATACGTCCTATAAAGAGCAAACACCACTGGTCTGATATTCTCAGGAGTAAATTCTATGTGTCGTGTTGGAGTATCATAGCATGGATTGTGGCCATGGATGCGATAGTAGCCAAGGTAAAGTTGATGCGATTGGGTAAATTAAATGGAGATAGATGCATTTTATGCCATGCCAATAGTGAGAACTGGGATCATTTTATTTTTCGAATGTTGTTTCTCGAGGAGTATTGTTAGCAGAGTTGATAATTTTTTCAATAGCAGCTCTTGGGATCTCCGACTCTCATATGCAGGTGGGTTGCAAAGCAAAACACGGCTCTAGGGAGACTTATTGGATCTCTATGGTGCTCCTTGGTTAGCTTTGTCTGGCAGGAAAAGGTGTCGAAAGCTCCATGGAGAGGTCCCAAGAACGACCGAGTTGGTGACGGAGTTATGGTTGCGAGATTTTCGCTTTTTGTTTCCTCTAATCCAGGTTTAGAGGAGGGGAGAGTTTGTGTCCCTCCAGAAGCATTACAATAAAATAAAATAAAATAAATTAGAAACTGAAATAGAACCCAACAAATTTAAAGCCTAGAGGAAATGTTCAAATCCGTGCGACAGATTTAAAGCTCAACATAAATGTTTAAACGAAGCATTCCAATTAAAGATGGAAATTGTGACATTGCACCCAGGATAGACATACATACTTTAGTCGTAACAAAAGTAGTGAACGTGCAATAGCTAAATGGCAACCGGTGTATTTAACCCTTTGCTAACACGGGTGATTTACCTAAATATTTTAAAAGTAAAAAATAATACCACATATATATTAGTAAAATATATATATATATATATACACACAAGAATTGTGATGGGGAGGCAAAAAATGTGCGACCACGCTCATACTGAATGAAAGTAGGGTATATTAGATAAGCATGCAAGGCGTCGCACGAACGTAGCGAAATAGAGCACGAGCAGAACAAAATACAAAAATCCACATCCCACATTCTCCCCTCTTCTCCCTCTACGACAACAAAAGGCGACATCAACAACGAAGGCAACAATCTCTCACATATGACCACCGCTCACTCTTCCGGCCGTGATTCCAGTGACGAGGAGGAAGTTGTCCTCGGATGATCTATTTGGTGCTAGAGGTAGACGAAGAAGAAAGAATGTGTGGTGCCGCACATACTAAGAAATTATTTCGCTTAGCTGGAATGGCGTTACATGAGCTGAGCTAAATTTATTTACTTTTCGCTCAACTCGCGCGATGTCGCATGAGTTGAGCTAAATTTATTTACTTTTCGCTCAGCTCGCGAATGATCGCATATTTTCGCCTCCAAATCATAATATCCTTGTAAATACTTTTTGATTCGGGCCTAATTGCACATGTTTTGCCCCGTTTTACTTAGATGTTTGTGCCAAATTCGCTCCTTAAAGGTCAGTTTTACGCTAGGTTCTTCGTGTATGAGTGTGTTTCAGGATTTAACAGGTGAAACCAGCCTTAGAGTCGAAAGATTGGCGAAAAGGATCGAAAACAGGGAGAAGAGGTGAAAAAGCGCCAGTTCACGGTTAACTAAAGGAGTTCACGGTCATGCAAGACCGTGAAGAAGGAGACTTGACCGTGAATCGCGAGGCGTTCAGAGCCAATGTGAAGGTTACTGACGCAAGGGGACTTCACGGTCACTAAGACGGTGAACACAAGCAATTGCCCGTGAACTGACGTGAGCGATGCAGAGCATTTTGGTGCACGCCTTGAGTTCACAGACGCGTTTGATGGTTCACGGCCGTGAACTCAGCTCTTCTCGGATTTAAAAGCTGAGCTGCAAAGAGGAGAGAGGGGAGAGCCCACTTTTGTGAGAAACACCTTCTTCAGCATTCTAGTGAGAGAAACAGAACCAAAGGGAAGAAGAAGGTTAGGATTTGGCTTCAAGGCAGATTTTTGGGTAGATTTCCCCGAGGAAAGCTCAACTCTAGGGTCAAGAAGAGAGGAGGCATCCCCAAAGATGGTTTCCACCTTTTTCCCTTTTGTTCTTCCCACTTCTACCATGGAGTAGACCTCCTTTCACTTGGGTGTAGTGAAACCCTAACTCTACCATGTAGTTTTCTTGTATGTGGTTTGGATGATTGTTATTGGGTATTGTTCAATTCGATGTTTGAGGCATTATTCACCATGATTGTGTATGCTTGTTCTTAGCAACTTAGGCGTTGTGCATGTTTTGTGCTTAGCATCCTAGGGATTGTGTATAATTGTGCTTAGCACCCCTAAGTTTGTGCATTTAGGTGCTAGTAATCTAATTTGCCACCTTAGCCTAGTTTAGAGAGGAAAATCCCCCTTTTAAGGGAGACTCAATCGAGTTGGTTTTCCTTCTGCTTTCTAAGCCACCTAAACTAGGCTGAGTTAAGGCAACCCTCAATTTTGAATTAAACAAGTCGATTAATCGTGGTTAAACTGGCCGACCTTCGAGTTGAGTGAGGAAGTAAGCAGATTACCGTTGTCTAAACCGAGAGGGTCGAGTGACATGGCCTTTCATCCTCACCTCAGTTTAGCAATTGAGACTGTGGTCGGAGACCACATACGCTTTCCTTTGCGGTTCACGATTAACGTGCCCAAGGCAATCGTTCCAATCCACATAGCATGGTAGTGGTTAGGGGGAAGCGAAACCCGAGTGACTTTCCCACAAAAGAGTTTTCAAACCCAATCACCTTTGTTTTCTTTTACTTCAATTAGCAAACCTTTTAAAACAAAGTTTAGTTGCTAGATAATGATTTCAACAATGGAAGTAGGGATAGACGGAACGGTCCGGGTCGATATCTAAATACTTGCCCTATACTGCATCCGATTAGAGTTTGAAAACTTGAGCTCTAATTGGGGTTTAATTGTGGTGTAGTTTCGTGCGAGTCACTTTTTTACATAAATAGTAATATTTTTTTTTATTTTAAATAATTATGTAAATCACCGTACTGACATGGGAAAGCAAGCAAGTGGTATCTTTGATCAAAGATCTTGCTGTGTTGAATTTGGTCAATGCCCTTTATCATATTCATTTCAACTTTACATCAAACCTTTGCATTGATGCTTATGGTAGCAGCCTTTATTCCCTCCAATAATGACCAGCAATTCGACTCGTAAATGACCCAATAATTGCGCGCCGGAAAAGTTGATTGCTTCATGTTCACATGATACCCCACCCTTTTGTTCTCTCTTATATTAGGGAACTTAAGCTTATAGTGGAAAATGGTAAAACATAATTTTTGGCCTCCCTCACAACTCCAAGTGACCCGTTTTACGACGGGATCGGTACTCTTGCTAAATTTCCTAGGGGTTTGATGTGATCTTCAACTCTGCTTGGTGTATTCGTGAAGATGCACGAGGCAGGACCGCGTTTCAAAGTTTTCTACGGAGTCTTGAGGATCGTGCGGTGTAAGAAGTAAGCTCTGGAACATGTTGGGTTCTGCTCTGCTCAACTGCCAAAACCGGGTTTCTTCTTCTCATACAATATATCCCGCCATCTGTTCATTGCCCGACATTAGTAATTTGTTGATGCCATAATCAGTACCACCAAAACATTAGCCTTCTGCGTCATATGAATGATATTGGACTATTGGTCGATGATGGTTCTGCAGTCAATTCCTACATTGATATAGTACAACCCCACGCTATTATGACTCCACAAGGCATCACCATAATCAGTAAAACATGGTCGGCCATAAAGACAGTCTATCCCGGAAAAAAGTTACAGAAAGACCACAGAAGAAGAACAGACAAGGACATGGATGATTGATTTCAAGCATGCCCACTGCAGTGACAGCAGCACTCCCACATGCCAATGAACAGAGAGAAACACAAAGGACAGAAACAGTAGTCTGTAGTCTGAAGATGGAGTAAATAGTTTCATTAGGGTAACTGGAAGGGAAAGGATAAGATAAAAAGACTACTGCTAAAATTACTACTTGCTGCTACCACAAAGTAGTTAGTGCCCTCTCTAGATATACAACAACCAGACAATGGGGAATTCTTGTTTTCTTACATAATGAACATCTAAAGAAGGAAGAAAGGAGAGAAAGAAGAGGTTCTCTTCTTCTCACTTCTCTCGAGTCTCCCAAGTCCCAACCCTACATCCAAAGTCCAGAGACAACAATTACAACGACCAGCCATCCCACAACCCACTCAAATAAAGGAATCACATTCCCCTCTCTTACCTTTTTTTTTTGGGGTTTTTCAAAAGGATCAAAGATTGGAAAAGAAACAACAAAAAGAAAAGAAAAAGAAAACCCTAATACGGTGGGGTTTGCTGCTCTAGATGATGATTCTCTTCTCTTCTTCCCACCTCTAACAGTTTGAGTTGTCTCCCTTCTACAACAAAATATCATATGCTGCTAGTGCTCTGGCAAAATCTCATCCACACATCAAACCACTGCCCACTTTCAAACCCTTCTTCCTCATCTGTTTTTACTTAGAACCCAGATACCAGGAGAAGCCCAGATACCCAGAGGGTCAAAGTGGATGAGGCAAAGATGAACAAGTTTGTAACTTTCCTGGAATCCACACCACTGCTATCACCAATGCCAGTTCCACTCCCAGTTGGACCTAACCCTGTCCCAAATACTGATGGTGTTGTTCCAGTAGTTATTCCTGTTCCAGTGTTTGAGCCCGTGCCTGTTCCAGTTCCGGTGCCGGTGGGAGTACCCATGCCTGTGCCTGTTCCTGGAGTAGTTGATCCTGGGTTTGTTGTTGGTGATGTTCCAGCATTGCTGCAAAAGTCCACAGAAGGAGAGAAAGGGAAGAACCCTAATGTCAAAAATGAGAACTTAACTAGGAAAGCCAGACGCTTTGCTGCTAAATCCAAACACAAACCTAAAAGGGGGTCATGGGATTACTAGAAAAGAAATATGTTCCACATTCATGGATCCCTAGTGTAGCATGTGGAGAACAGATGTCAAACAGAAGGATAATGGCCTAATGGGGAAAGGAAAAGAGGACGAGCTTATGATACATCAGCATCATGACAACTCATGTTTTCTCAACCCAAGCGGGAGAGAGAGAGAGGGAGAGAGGACAATGAATTGATATAGTGTCCTGCAGCTCCTGAGATCTAACTTTTCCTATATTTCCTAGTAGATTATGTGCTGAAACAACAGTCTTACTGCTCATACTCTAGAGTCTACACTTCTTTTACTGCCTTGCCTTATGCAAAGCTAAATCCAAGCTCCATATTCACGGTTCAAAACAAAAGACTGAACAGAAGCTAAACATCCAAATCCAAAAACTTAAGTTACCAGCAGATGAACAATCTAAAAGAGGACAGGTGGGAAGCATACCCGGGACTTGCAGGGAAAACACAGGTAGAACCTACACCTGGAAAGATCATCCAACAACCGAGATGAACGGAAGAGGAAAGTCAGTAACAGAGAAGATTTGGAAAATCTGATGCAAAGAGTATCCTCCAACTTCCTATTTTTGCTTCCAGAAATTTCATCATACCGGTTGGGGGAGTGACACTAGGCGAGGCAGCTCCGCTGAAGTCACAGGTACCACTAGATTGACCTTTCCTCTGGAAGTAGCTGTTAACGGCATAGTTGCAGTGATCTTTCACAGTGTTGGGCTGGTAACAAGCTCCATTCTGAGAGATTTGAGTGCAGTCAGCTCCAGCTCCACACGCATAATCTATGGCCTTCTGCCAAGCTTGCTGCCCCACCCCATCCTTGCAGAGACAGTAATTTGCACCTACCAAAATAAAAATAGGGAAAAATGAATACTTATTCTTTTCCTTCGCAGAATATAAATCTCCATGAAAAACTTCAATCTTTTCCTTCCCAGAACATTAACCCAGATTTTCTAAAGGGAGGAAGAAGGAACTTACTTGAGTGACCAGCTAAGGCCAGGAAGAAGACCAGAAAGGCAGCAAGAACAGCCATGGTTAGTGGTGGTGATGTTCAGGAAAACAGAATGAAGAGAGGTAGCTGGTTAAGCAAGGAGGAGAAAAAGAAGAAAGGAGGGGAGAGATGAATGACGGTGGTGGGTGGAAGTAAGTGACAGTGTGTTGTGTGCAAATGAATGTATGAAATGGGTATGGGGAGGAGAAAGGAAAGGAGACAGCTTTTTTTATATAGGACACTTTGTTTGGTTTTGACACTATGCTAATTAAAAGAAGAAAAGAAACCCAATTTCAAATATAAGTTATGATTTTATTTTTATTGTTATATATAGGAAAAAGTGTACTACAAGGGCAGGGGCACAGTGTGTCCTGTCTCTGTGCGTAGAGGGTGAGATGGGCTGTGTGTTTGTAGGGAAGTGAGCCCAAAGCTGGAACCTTTTCTTCAGTTTTTGTCATCTAGTAAAATGGTAACTGGGTACATGGAAAGAGAGAGAATGTGTGTGCCTTTTCCTTTTCTTTCTCCAACGGTCATAAACCCATGTCTCTGAAGTCTGAACTTAAACTTAACCACACTGGTCAGTCACTATGTCGATCACTTTTGTAAGTTGGAGGAGTTGTATTGCATTCAAGGAGTCAAGTTGTTAAACCCCTACGGAGCCTATGGTTGAATCCGGTTCGATCAAAATCAGGCTTCAAAGCCTTTAGAGAGTTTTTGGTCTGTTCTCTAAAAGAGGGAGAAGAAGAGAGGAGGGGATAGAAGGAAGGGATCTGTGGGTTGCTGGGTCATGGACTCATGGGGAATTAGATAGGTTATATTTTGGAAAAAATCTCAAACTACACATGTTTTAAAAAATATTCTCAAAATATACATGTTTTATGAAAAATTCTCAAAATATACATATTTGGACATCACTTCGGCCGTCAACCGCACTGAATGCATTCACCGGCAGACGAAAGCGGTGAATGCATCACCACGGTTGACAGTCGTGGTGAATGTCTGGCCTAACAATGAAACTTCAAACGAACGTAATTTTGCGCTTGGTTATCCGATTGTAGCGATTTTTTTTATTTCACATAACTTTTTAAGATCTTTCAATCTGCAACAAGCCTTCATCCAAAAAAAAAATTTCGTTTGCTACTTCGAACAAGCAATTTTTCGATTTTGTCAAAGTTATGCGTAATAAAAAAAATTCATGACATTCGGATTGAGGAGCACAAAGTTATGGTCTTCCAAATTTTGTCAAAATCGAAAAATTGCTCGTTCAAGGTAGCAAACGACATATTTTTGGGATGAAAGCTTGTTGCAGATTGAAAGATTTTGAAAAGTTATATGGAATAAAAAAATTTCGCTACAATAGGATAACCGAGCACAAAGTTGCGTTCTTTTGAAGTTTCACTGTTAGGTCAGGTATTCAACGCGATCGTCAACCTCGGTGATGCATTCATTGCTTTCGTCTACCGCGATGATGCCCAAACATGTGTATTTTGGGAAATTTTCATAAAACGTGTGTATTTTGGGAAATTGTTTTAAGAATATGTGTATTTTGGGATTTTTTTTCTTTTATTTTGTGAGAAATAAGTTTTAAATAGATATGTGTAAGATAAATTTTATTTCACTCATTAAATTTTTAAATTACTACGTATTTTGTATATATATATATATATTTAGAAAGAGTATAAAATGATTTAAACCGGCCGGATCCCGATCAGATCAATAAACCTCAAACTCCTTGCTTGACCAGCTCAATTACTTAAATCGGTTTGACAACCTTGATTGCACTCATGGTTGTAAATGAGCCGAATTGTTCTATCCTCAACAAAAAATCATTCGAAATTTGACTTGTTTACCAAAGAGTCCGATTTTGAATTAACTTTTGTTAAGTGAGGTTGTGAATTAGCTCGATTAGGTGGCTTGTTGAGCTCAACTTGTGACATGACTCGTTTAGATCTCATGAGATATCTCAATATTGTGGTTAAAAAACCAACTCGTTTACTAGCTTATGAGCGAATCCATCTATATCTTATGAGTTGGATTTTGATAGTTAATAAAATTGTTCAATTATATATCTCACGTTATATGATATTTAAAATATTTAGTATGTGAGCAAATTTGTATTATCCTTCATGGGCATACTCTCCTTCAACGAGGACTTCGGTGGCAGATTGGCAATGGGGCCCTGGCCTATCCATCATTCGAGTTGGGTGCCAGCGTTTCACCCCATCCCCCTATGTGTCTTCCGCATATAGATCTAGAGGGTGATGACCCAAAGGTAGTGGAGCTTAATGATCAGGTAAGGGGAGGATGGTGCATCCAATCGCTTCAGAAGAGGTTTCCTTTGGAGGTGGTTCGTGCGATATTGGCGATTCCCTTTCCTAGTATGGGTATGGAGGCTAGGCTGATATGGCACGATACGAGTGATGGCGTGTTTTCTATTAAGTCAGCCGACCACTTGGCGGTGTTGGTTGATAGGCAGGTTGGTATGTGGCGCCTCGTGGTCAGCTGGATGGATAGGACGAGCTGGATGAGATTGTGGGCCCTTAAGATCCCCCCTAAGCTAAAGTTGTTCCTATGGCAAATCTTTCATCGTATCTTACCTATGACCGAGGCACTCATTGAGAAAAGGGTACAGGTGTTGCCAAGGTGTCCGGTGTGTTGGGTGGTGTCTGGGTACATGTGTTCCCTGAGAAGTGTTTGCTTAGGATGAATCAGTCGGAACAGATCATGGCTCTGGTAGCCCTCTTGTGTCGTATTTGGAAATCTCGTAACTGGGCAGCCTTTGAGGGCAAGCAGTTCACAGTTCCTCACTTAATTTGTCAGTATCAACAACAGCTTCACGAATGGGTATCCTTGCCAGAGGATTCTATGGTTCCGGGTTGGGTATCACAGAGTCATAATCGAAGGGAGGGGGCCTTGCCTAATATCGTCTATATGTGGATGGAACGGTAAGTGTTGGCTCACATTCAGCGGGAGGATTGGTGGTAAAGGATGGTGGTGGTAATGTGATATTGGTCAATTGAGTATCTTTTCCAAGCATCGTGGACCCTCTAGTGGTTGAGACTCTTGTGTTCCGTGAGGCAATCCAGTGGTGTCAGACTCTTGGCCTCCCCCAAGTTATGTTTGAGGGAGAAGCAAAGGTGCTCATTGATAAGGTTAATGCCAACGATGCACGTGATGGGCGCGTTGGGGCTATTATTTAGGAGATTTTGAGTTTGCTAGCTCTCAATAATGGTTTCCAGGTTAGGTTTGTAGGTCGGAATAGCAATAGGGTTACCCATTATGTGGCTAGAAAGACCCTGTCTTTGTCTCCGGTCTCGTGTCCTTTGTATGATTTTTGAGCCTGGGTTGGTTCTAGGATGTACTTTTCTTAATCAATATGATTATCTTAAAAAAAACAAATTTGAATTATTTTTAATTTGAAAAATAAATTATATACTATAGATTGCTTCGATATAATGAAATAAGAATATAAGATGATTTATACTAGTTAAAATTTATGAACTAAGGGGTCATTTGCTTTGTGGATTTGGTACCCGAATTCGATCCATTATGGATTTATTGGAAATCCATTATTTGCTTGTATATTTTTAGGGACAAAATTTATGGGATCCGCGAATTTTAGGGTGCGCCTACGGTGACATGCATGCCACTGTGACTTGCACTTTTTGGTCGACCTCAGTTAGGATTAGGTTGACCTCATGTAGGATTAGGTCGACCTTATTTAGGATTAGGTAGACCTCATATAGGATTAGGTCGACCTAATTTGTTGTTTCAGTGTAAAACAAGTTGCATGGTGCATACTTTGGAGATTCATATCTTACAATTGGCTTGATGGAAATTGGATATTAATGGCTTGTTTTGAAGCTGGAGTGTCCCTCTACACATTGAAGTGCTTGGGAGCTCGATAGGAAGTCCAGAAGGCCATTTTTGAACTTGATCAAAAGGCTATGCCAAAATTGGGAAACTGGCTGAAAATGGCAAAGTCTGGGAACGTGTTTGTGAAGTCTACTTTGGAGCTCAATTAGAGAAGCATGGATGCGAGTCGAGTCCAGTGGCCTTTACCAAGTTAAATTAGGTATGTTTTTATACAAACTCAAGTCATTGGATCAAAGATTGGATATCTGTAAGGCTTCAAACAAAAGGGTCGAAGTTGCTACGAAGACTGTTTTTATGGCAGACTTCGAGCACAAGCAAGCTGCCAGAAAAACAGCCTTCGCAGCAATTTCGACCCTTTTGTTTGAAGCTTACAGATATCCAATCTTTCATCCAATTCCTTGAATTTGTATAAAAACATACCTAATTTAACGTGGTAAAGGCCCATGGACTCGATTCACATCCATGCTTCTCGAATTGAGTTCCAAAGTAGGCTTCACAAACACGTTCCCAGACTTGGCCACTTTCAGGCAGTTTCCAAGTTTTGGCATAGCCTTTTGATCAAGTTCAAAAATGATGTTCTGGACGTCTTATTGAGCTCCCAAGTACTTTAATGTGTAGAGGGACACTTCAGCTTCAAAACAAACCATTGATCTCCAATTTCCATCTAGCCAATTGTAAGATATGAATCTCCAAAGTAGGTACCATGAAACTGTTTTACATTGAAACAACAGATTAGGTCGACGTAATCCTATATGAGGTCGACCGAAAAGTGCATGTCACCGTGACATGCATGTCACCGTAGCAAAATCCCGAATTTTAAGGTCCTTATTCGTGGACCCCACATACTTGTAAATGTCAAGCGTTGATGTGTGATTTGGAACATGACATAAATCCATGATGGGATTTTACCCATATACACTCATGAACTTTTAATATTCCAAAATTGCCTTCATCTTTATTTATTGTACATATAATTAATCAATTAATTAACAACAAATAATATAAATATTTAATTACTGTGTAAACCTGAGTTAGATTTTCTTGCCTTTTCTTATGTTCTAGTTCCTTTGACATTTTCATGGAACGTAGAATTCTTTGTTGCCTTGATTATAATAAATGTTTCTATATGTGACTATTGAAATAGAGGACAAGGAATTGGTAAATAATATATGTTAATGTTATGTTAAAGTTAAAAAGAATTTTCCTGGTTATTACTATTGTTCTTATGGCAACAATATGCTTAGTAGTATTGTCTTTGTTTGAGTATATATCATATAAACATGACAAATAAATAGAAAATGATAGAAATGTAATTTTGGACTTTAAGTTATAAATCTCGAACTCTTGAATCCATGATCAAAACATCTCAACAAACAAAAGGATTGTTTCAAATCCATAATGCCTCAAATCCTTAATAAATTCTTGGAATTTTAAATCGCAAAGCCCTCATTTTTAAATCCATGAAGCAAACGATCCCTAAATAATGTGATACCAGCAAACTATAACACGAGATTAGTTCATGGTTAAAATTGGACTATTATTCTTTTTCATCCTGACATCCATCACATGTATCATTCATAAATATGCAATATGAATATATCAAACACGAGCCAGGATTTTAGTAAACAACGGATTTCAATCGTTTATTAACGAGCCATTCCCAAAGTATGGTAAAATTTGACTCGACTTAACTCATTTGCGTAGTAATAAAAGTTGCTAGCTAGATCAACACTCTCTTTCACTCTTCTGTAAAATGAGAATTTTTACCCTAAGTACACTAGTTCTTAAAAAAAATACAATAGTTTTTATGAAAATCCTTGAAGTACACATGTTTCGCTAAAATTGCGGTTGACAAATGTGATCTATGCCTTCATCGCGTCTTAGGAAATTGATCTATGTATAACCGCTTTTGAGAGAAGCGATATGCATGGATCGTTGAGGTGGAGCGCAATCTTCCTTGAATCCCATGTGTGGAAAGCAATCTGCGTCTCTTTATCGAGTTTGGCTGGGAAGCAGCGTCCCAGATCACTGTCATGGAAAGCGGCGAAGCCCTAGTGAGGCACGAATCGATTTCATGTAAAGTGATCATCCATTGATCGTGTTCGAGGGATACAATTTGTGCTTCGTCTTTGCTTCAACGCCGAGCGTTCCCCCTCCCCTTCAGCCTATTAATTCAACCCCCCATTTCATTCACACCACCACAACATTCTAGGTTTATATTTAGTTATATTATGCCCAACTTTCATAACTTTTATGTAAAAAGAACTTATCCATTAAAAGTACGAAGGTGGAACTTTAATTGAAACTAATTGTCACTGATTTGGAGCTCTAATAATTTACAATGCTTTGGAGCTCTTCTTGCTCGCCCTGAATGATCCATCTCATTGGCAATCTTGTGCGTCCTAGGATGATCTTTGGTGCACTTTAAGTGCAATGGTGGGATAATCTCTTTTCCCTCATGTAGTTGCCAATAAGCTTCATCTGGAAAATGCACAAACCTGCAACCATACTAGTTGATGATCGTCTGGTTGATGAAGTAAGGACTCACAAAGTTTTAAGGATTAAGGGACTGTGATTTAGATGCTGCCGTTGCATGGGAACAAGACATTCTTTTGTTTTGAAACTTCTGACATGTACACTCTCCAGTTCGACTTTCAACACAGAGGGTTACCATTTTAATCTGAATATTTAGCATAATCCATACAACATCCAAACTTCTAACAAATAACTAACTATCACATGCAATATCCAAAGCCACAATCCATCATAAATTCATCTTTAATCCAAATAGTTACCATAATTCACACTAAGCATAATTAGTGGAGCCACAATCCATCATACATAACATCCAAACTTCTGAAATTGTCATCATGTTCAAAATTCCTAATTATTTGGACCATATTATCTTGATCCAAAGGTTGACCATCAAATTGGACAGAAGACACTATTAATTGTTAGTCTTAACTTCATGTAAGTACAAAATACCACAAAAAAATTGAAATTTAAAAGAAATTAGTAAATTGTATATTTTCATAAATACGTTTCCAAATTAACGAAATTAATTTTTTTATTTCTTTTTTGGGGTTCATCGCTAGGAAAATATGTGTATTCATTCTTCCTTTTTTCTTGGTTGTTCCAGTGGGAAAATTTACCAACAAGATGGTAATTCCAACCAAGGTAATGATAGCTACAACAACAACAGGTTCAGAGGCAAAGTGCAGAGTCATCAATGCCCATTGAATCGACCACCATCACCATTCACCAGCACCGCTTGCATTCTCGTCGTTGCCTAAGATGTGAAGGAAAGGTTTGAGTATGAAGAAGTTGGGGATGAGAGTGAACACTAATAATGAGGACGAGCAAGATATGTTAAAATAGGAAAAAATCCCACTGTACACACGTTCTTAAAAAAAATTCCCAAAATACATGAGTTATAAAATTTTTTTCCAAAGTACACATGTTTGAGCATCACCGTTTTAGACAAAAGCGATGAAGGTTATCACCGCGTTTGACGAACGCGGTGAATACTTCACAGTTTTAAACTAAAACGGTGATGTATTCACCGTTTCAAACTAAAACGGTGAAGGGTTCACCGCGTTTGTTAACAACGGTGAACACCTCACCGTTTTGGTCAAAAACGGTGAACCCATTCATCGTTGTTAAGTAACGCGGTGATCATTTCCCACGTTTCCCACCCCTGGTAGGTCAAAATTAGGTCGCAGCTACCCCCTATTCACCGTTTGAGACAAACGCGGTGATGGTGTTCACCGTTTTTGACAAAAACGGTGATGGTGTTCACCGTTTTCGACAAAAACGGTGAATAGTAGGCAGATTTTCCTATAAATAGCACACCATCAGCAGTTGTAAAAACATAACCACTCCCCTTTCTTCAAATTTCAGCAGCCAAAATCGAGCATAATACACAGAACAGAAATTTTTCGGTATGTTGAGACTTTTCGTATTATAGTCTAATTATGTTTTTAGTAGTTATAGTATGATTTAATTTTCGTATTATGTTGTTGTTAGTTAGTTGAACTTATGTTCGTTAGTTATAGTATGATTTAATTTTCGTATTATGTTGTTGTTAGTTAGTTGAACTTATGTTCGTTAGTTATAGTATGATTTAATTTTCGTATTATGTTGTTGTTAGTTAGTTGAATTTATTTTCGTTAGTTATGGTATGATTTAATATTAGTTGTACAATATGATTTTGGTTAATTTTACTGTCTTTAAGCTAATAGATACTTATTGTAAATTGTAGATATGGGTAAATTCAAGAAGTTTCATCTTACTATTCGGTGGAATGGAAGGGTGACAAACTCTGACATAGGCATTGATTATGAGGACGGCGAATCGATTATGCTGAAAATTGAATCCCGATTCAATTTTCAAGAACTCTGTGATCTTTGTGCAGAAAGGGTTTGTACGAGCGGACAGACGAGACTTGGCAAAATTACTTACCGGTATCCAGACATGAGTGCTGGCGGGGTCGTGTTCCAAGAAGTTGTCATAAACGATGATGACGCGGTTATGATGATGTTACAGTTCCTAAGCGATAACCAAGTCCGGCTTGCAGAGGTGTATGTTGAGACCGAGGCGATCGGTGAATCTCATTCTCACCAGTATTCTTATGATGATGGTTTTGCAGGAGGGTACGAATGGGGTGGTAGTTCGAGCAACTACCAAGGCGGTGGTTATACAGGAGGTTACGGGGAGGGTGGTGGTTCAATCAACTACGGTGGATCGAGTAGTGCAGGATGGGACCAATACTCGCAACCTCCTAAACCAGCCCCATTTGTTGAGGCCGATGGTGTTCAATGGCCTGCTTGGGGGCCAGAGTGGTATGGAATCGAGAATACCATTCGATCAGGGCGTACTTCACATGAGCGAGAGGACGATGTTGGTGATCGTGGTCATGTTGATCCTTCTAGCCCGAGCTATCCATTCGAGTCGAGCGACGAGGATACTGAGGAAGATTTGATATCAGTGAGCGAGGAGGAGGAAGATACTGATGATAACGAGGATGAGGCGGCATTTCGTGATGCACCCACGCCATATTACACACAGGTTCCAACTAAATTTTTACATAGTCAGAATGATCCCCCCGACTTTGTCCCTATGCCAGTGTACAATCCGACGGCCAATTTGGAGGTGGGTATGGCGTTCACATCGAAAGACGCTGTGCAGGATGCTTTTACAGAAGAGGCGTTGAGGCGCAATTTCGAGTGGAAGGTAAAATATTCTGACAGTAAACAACTACATGTCATATGCAAGCATGATGCAGAGGGTTGTACGTGGCAACTGCGGGCTGCGAATATGAAGAGAAAGGGTGCTTGGGTGATTCGCAAAGCTGAGACGATCCACACATGCTCCTCTTCTATACTTTCCCAAGATCACAGGCAACTAAAAGCAAAGAAGGTTGGGAGAACTATTAAGCACCTTATAGAAGCACAACCAGATATCAAGGTGAAAGCTATCATGGCAGAGGTGAAGGATCGACATTCTTACACGATAAGGTACAAAAAAGCATGGCATGGTAAGCAGAAAGCCATGGCTGAGGTGTATGGTGATTGGGAGGATTCGTATGCTTTACTCCCTAGACTTATGGGAGCAATGGAGGAGTCCAATCCTGGGACTGTTTTCGTCCCAGTATACAA